TGTCAACCTTCAAACTGGACCACGTGCCGGGGGTGCTGGTCCTGGACTTGAAGATGAGCATGTGTCTCCTCAAGGGAACACGCTCGAGGATGCTGAAAATATGTTTCTGGGAGAGGGGCGTCATGACTCTCGTGCGAAAGGGAATAGTTGTCAAGGGGATCGGTCGGGTGAAGCTGATAAATGCGTGTTACGTGATGATAAAGAAAAGACCTCCAGTGATGGTTTCGGTTACCGTGTTGAATCTACATTCAAAAGAAGGACCGATCGATGTGTGGAAAAAAATATTTTGGCTTCGCCCGACGCCCTTGAGCCCACCCTTCGTGATCATCGGGTGACTAACAAAGTTGTTAGTCATGAAACTGCGATTCAGGTTTTGAGAGCACTTCGCACGATCCCTACTGATGTGCTTTTCAACGATGATCGTGATCCGTGTTTGAAGTCCCAACGTGGTGAAGGTGAAGGAATTGCTCGTGCCCCGTCCCAAACACGAAATTGTGCGACAATTGTTGAGGTGCCCGATGATAGCAATCCCCCACCGCCAGTTCCACGTGTTCCTCATCCGCGCACTTACCTCTCTCAATGGTTTGATGATGCAAAGAAGGTTGGTTTGCGAAAGGTCTTGAATGAGATCTTTTTCAAAATGTTTGTGAAGACTGCGACGGTCGTGAAAGATGAACGGATATGGGAAAAATTCCTTGATTGGCAGAGAACTAAACTCACTAATATGTGCTTGGAACGAGGATCCTCTCTGCCCTCCAATCCGTTGAATATTTCGGATGTGGAGTCCTGCTGGATGTTCCAATCCCTTCTGCACGATGAGTACATTGCGCTCTCCAATGAGGAGATTGTAAGAATGACATTTGATTTGCCGTATTGTCTGACGGATGAGACTATTCCGAAGCCCTTCTTCAGATATGCTCGCATACAAAGTCTCATCAAAAGAGTTCCTGTCGGTGTTGCTTCTTCCGCTCCTCCTTCGACCACTGTCCGTCCACTGTCATTACCGGCACCGTCTCCTGCGAATTGTCAACGTCTTGCAGATTATGCTTCGTCGTTCAATGTGGGAACGCCCATCGTCACTGCTTCTACAGTTGTTTCTGCTTCGCCTGCCGCTATGTTTACTCCATCTCCTGCTCCTTGCGTTGTCCCCGCTCCTGTCTCACCAGCTGCACAACTGCATGTCCGTATAGGAGGTTTGCCAGAAGTCACTCCTTCTACTTTTGATATTGCCGTCTATGAGTCTCTTGCATCCGTTGGTCCCAAAAAATTGCATGCGCATCTCTCCTATCTTGATAGCTCTCACAGGTTGCAAGATATCGCGCAAGCGGCTGACGAGTTGCATACGGATATGAACACGTGGAGGTCTGTTGATGCTGCCATCCATCTTGACTACCATCGGCAGCGACAAAGTCGATTTCAAACTTTTGAGGATTATCGCCGGAAAGTGTTGCAACAGAGTTCTGTTCGTGACATGTTGCGAGAGTTTCGTTCCACTAATGGGAGTTGATTGCTCTTACATAAGATGGAGAGAGAGAGAGAGAGAGAGAGAGAGAGAGCAAATAAATATTATGTTGTTTTCTTTTAATAAAATGGAGATGGATTGTACTTCGTGCTTATTGTGCCTTCATCATTTTGCACGATCTTCTTGACTTGAACGATGTTTTTCTTTCTTTGTTCTTTGCATTCTTCTTTTCTTTCTCCTCTGCCTCTCTCTCTATCTCTCTCTCCTCTCTCCCTCCTCTCTCCCTCTCTCTCTCTCTCTTTCTCTCTCCCTTTTTGTGTCTATCTATGTGTGTTCCGTTTCTTGAATTTGTTAACAATGCTGAAATTTAGCAGCTGGTTTGGGCCTGATTTTTTTTTTTTTTTTTTT